TCACACACACTGGTCTGAAATGATACTGTCCCTGAGCTCAGTTTGGCAACTTCCATCCACTTGTCTGCCTTACACTCTTGATGGCCGCACAGCATGCCAACTGTACTATGCACAGCGAGCAGGAAATGTTTGGCCAAAGGACTTTGGCCAAATCTGGGGCTACCTGCAGACCTGCAGTTTATACGGTCTTGCGAGGATAGTTGCAACATGACTTTCAGGATTTGCTGTTTAGAGACCTGTCCAGTGCTGTGACAACTGAATTAAAGTTTTCTTGACATTGTATCTCCAAGTGATTCAATTTAGCTGTATATTTATTAGTGACTTAGTGCATGTGAAAGGAGTTGGAGTAGGAGAAATTTTTGAACCCTTCCTGGTGGAACTAATTCCTTTGTCGTAATCAGGATGTATTTCAGCAGATAAAATAATGATACAATAATAGCAAACCAAAGAAGAGCAGAACTCAACAAACCTGAATGTAAATCATGAAACTGTATATGCATAGGGATAACTTGTGTGCTGTGGACTGTACTGAAATGTACAGCTAAGAATTTTGAAGCTGTTTGGCTCATGACGGCTATAGAGCAATAGTGCTGAAGCAGCTGACACCTCGATGACACACCTTTATAATTTTAATTTCCTTATATAATGTGGTACTACATGAGATGACATCTATTCATCTAATGTCATATGTTCTTTTTTTCCTTTGCTTTAGGTTTTTCCTCCAATCATACTGTCATGATTGACATCACTCAGAAATTTATTCCTCTGACTACTTGAAGCCATTGCAGGATTTGCTTTCTTTTATAAACAATAGGCAAAATAATTGTAAATAAATAACAAAGACAGGAACCAGGGAAGCTGTTTGCCCAGGGAAATAGATTTACATAGATTCTGAGCTCTTGCACCTAATCAGTAGGTAAATGGACACTGCAGTTTGAGATATTCCAGCAATGAAAGCCATTATGAGATATCTAGATGGAGAAAAAGACGCAGCTGGGGTTCACATTCTTCCTTTTTCAAACTAAGTTTTAAATTTTTCTGTTTCCTGGATATCTAAGAGATCATCAGCTATCAATCTCTACTTTGATGTCATGGGGACAGGAAAATGTCTCAGACCTAAATGGCATTAATTTAACTTAGAATTCTCTTCCTGTCATAGCAAAGAAGCTTCTCTTCACACAGACTGTACAGGGAACATAAACACAAATTGAAGAGGACTGTTCCACTTGGTATATAAAAGGATTGTTAGATATCCAAGTCAGACTGATTCATTCCCACTTACAGTGAGTGCAGGGAAAACAAATGCAATAGAAAACGCTTGTGTCCTTAGCCACTGAAGTGTACAGACTTTGAGCCATGCTCTCTTATTTTTCTATATTGTTTTCTTTTTGCCTACTCATCACCATAAGATATAACAAGTATACACAGTCACCAAACTGGTTTGCTCAGCCCTATAAACAGTGCTGAAGTAGAAAATTTTCAACAAAATGTAAAAAGACAAGAATCATTTGACCTGGCCAAGTTTAAGCAGCCTCACACTTAGCACACTAACTCCAGAATTTACAATATAGTTGCACCAGTGCTGAGCCTTGGGAAGTTACAGTAACAGTCAATGACTGTAAGACCTAGTAGCTCCCTATCCTCCAGGATTTAAGGAAAATTCATATGTTTTCTGTGAGTGTTCTGTCAAAGCTTCAGATTGCATGGCTGATGTCGGTGTGTGATGGTTATTTGTTTTAGCTTCTTTAATGAGAAGTATTTTTCAGTACTTTGAAAGTAAAATTCGTTATAAGTCTGATAACTTAAGAGCAAGTACTCTGGGTCAGCAATTAACTGCTGAAATATTCTGAGTGCCATAGAGCACTCAGAACTTCAAAGACAAGTACTTCATTTTGCTGCAGATGAGGGAATAATTTGACCTTACTGCTTTGACATTCTATCTTTGGTTTAAATTAGTAGAAGATCTTAAAATAGGAAGCAAAGGGTCAGGGGTTAAAATAATGATCTAATTAAAATCGAAGTCTTAGGGTTTGCCCTTTAAGTTTAAATGTTTTGGTAAGTTAAGGCTGAAATGATTTAATACACGGTTCTATATTTGAGTAAATTCTAATGGCATGAATTCCAAAATGTGTGCATTAGCCTTGATATCTGAGTTAGCTTAAGATGAAAGGTTTTGATAAGCTATGAGAAAAACAAGCAGCTTTTGAGATAATGGACCCTATGTGTAAGTCAATCATTGTAATGTCATGTTGTTTGAAGCTGTGTCTTAATTTTTCAGAGCTTGCAGCTGATGATATGTTTAAGATAGCCTTCGGTTCTGGCAGGGCTTGAAGCAAATGTTTGTTTAGTACTGTCAGAAAGTACAAAGCTAGTGACATGCAAAGTGACAGAGTAATACTCTGAGCAGTCAGTGGGTTTGAAGTTAAAGCTTTCTGTCCTTGGGTTTTCTGCCCTTGTAGCTGTTTTCTTTGCTCCCTGGTACCCTGAACCTGAGGCCATGAGGAAGTCTCACTAGTTGTGGCAGACACTGTCAGAACACAACACATGCCTCTCTGTAAACCTTTTTAAGATCTATGATGGCCCAGAATCTCCTTTCTACTAATGCAAAGTTTGAACCTCTTCTACCGTTTTAATCTCTTTCTAGCTTCAAAAGCGTTGGCCACAGTTGCAATTTAGAGAGCAGGAAAAGTCTGTGTATGCATGCAGTGCTCTCTTTTTCCTAAGTCAAAGAGAAGATAAATCTAATACTACAATAACTAGTGAGAATTGGGATTGAAATTGGGTCTCATTTTCCCCACTGACTCCAAGAACAGGTGAGAAAACAGACATGAATTTCAAGCCCCAGTCCACGCTGGACAGAAATAATGAAGCAATCTGGGCAAGCAGGCATCCCCATGTGGGGTCTGCATGGTGTTCAGCCTAGAGGTGAAAGATAAAGCAGAGGTGCCCTGGAGGAGACCTGACAGAGCAGTGTGGACAGAGCCAGAGTCCTCTGAGAAGACATATTCCCAGGTTGTGTTTTTTGTCCTGACCACAGCTGAGACCAGGCACAGTGCACAGACCTTCTGCTTGTTCTTATACCCGAGTGTCTCACCCATCCATACTTACCTTCAGTATGTTCTCAACTGGGTTCCTTATCTCCTGAGTAATATTAAACCCATGTTTCTCTATATGTCTTCACACACAACACTATTTTGTTTGTGAGGGTGAGTGAGCTAGCTCGGTCATCCCACAGTCCTCTGATAAAATGGACTCTGTGCCAGCCTGACCCAATGCCCAGCCAAGCGTGCATGTCTTTGAGTGCATGGGAAGGGAGAGAAGGGATTTCTCTGCCTGTTGACTTCGCATACCTTCTAAAAATCTGGCACAGCTACTCGAGGTCAGCAATACACTATGGACAGGCAGGGATTGCTTCCCTAGAAATTTTTGATTGCAGTCCTGAATGCCAGATCTCCAGTCTTGACTTTCCACCCCATTTTACCACTCCCATTTAAGGGGCCACCTCCCAAAGCAGTTCTCTCATTCAGCTACTTAATTCTTCAGGTCTGTGTTTTACAGCCACAAACATGGGAAATCTTAGATGTGGATACTGTCCTGTTGAACGATTGTGAGCTGTTTTACATGCAGAATGGCTAAAAAATGTAAAAAATAGACAGTGTCTTCATTAGAAAGGGGGTTGGAGAGGAGATCCAGGATCTGTGGATTTTATTTATATATTTATTTATTTATTTATTTATTTATGTCCACAGGATACCATTTATTTTAAGCTTAATTGAGTTTCTGTCAGAATTTGTGCATTTCATTTTCTCTTCTTTCCTTCTCAAGGCTCTAAACAACTCATTTCAACTCATTCTTATGCTGTTCTCACATGCTTTACCTTTTTCCTGTTAACTTTTCTTCTGTGTATTTGTTTTTTTTTCCACCTGACAACATGGTTGTGGTACTGTCAAACATTTTTTCCTCCCTGCAGTGGCCATCTATTTTCCTAGCCTTCAGATACCTTTGAGTCAAATGTTTTCATTTTTATTTCCTCCTAAAAGAGCATCAGTCAGAGCACCTCTCACATGTGGATTGAGTTTGTACTTGGTTATTGAGCTGGAGACCAAAGGCAGTCTGTAAGTGATGATGCCTGTACCATTTTTTTTATTGACATTGGCTAATTACACCTATGTAATTACACCTTAACCTTACTGATCTAATGAATCGTCTTGACTTGGGAAGGACTTTAGAGCCTGGTAGTTTAAAATAAAGAAACAAGCTTAAAATGAAAGTCTTCTGAAATTCAGTCTTCTGAAAATACAGAAATGTACATCAAAAGAGGCTTTAAACATGATCTCTTGGAACCCTTTTCCTACTAACTCCCCTTTTTCTACCAACTTTGTCTATAAACAGAATATGTTGCTTCATGCATGTGAATGTAGAACTGAGCCTTAAGATGTTAAGCTCTTTGCAGCAGGTATCTGTTTCTCTCTCTACACAGTCTTATTTTCAACATTCTGTTTAAGAAAACGTGTATTTTCTTTCTCATTTACTTGCCTATTTTATTTTATAACTCTAACTTGCCTGTGTCCTGTTCACTGCCTCCTTTAGAGAACAATGGTTATTCCCCCATGATTCTTTCTTCCCTATAAAACTTAGATGAACCATGGAGAGATGAGAAAGCGTTTCCATCTTTCTCACTTCAAAGGACCTGACAGGAGCATTTGTGTTTGACTCTTCCTTGTTTATCTAATACTTTGCTCTAAAGAATGGTTGCCCATGGATTGTTTACATACAAAAAGGTTCTATGAAAAAGCACACCCTGTTTATAGTAATTTATTAACTGGAAAAAAGGCTATCTTAGCTAATTGAATTGTTGTGTTTAAAAGTGTTTCCTTCAACTCTGGTGAGTAGCAAAGATCCATCAGTTGGTGTATTAGCTGGTAAACCATTTGTAGCTTAATTTTCTATAACTCTTCTTCAATGAAGAGGCCTGTAAGAGTTTTTGCCTTTTTTCACAGGTGCCACCAGTGCTTCTGGACAAGCAGTTTTCAGAATTTACACCAGATATCACACCTATTATTCTGGCTGCCCACACCAACAATTACGAAATCATAAAGCTACTTGTGCAGAAAGGGGTTTCTGTGCCCAGGCCACACGAGGTCCGCTGTAACTGTGTTGAATGTGTCTCAAGTTCAGATGTGGACAGCCTCCGCCACTCTCGGTCCAGACTCAATATCTACAAGGCTCTGGCGAGCCCATCGTTGATTGCTTTATCCAGTGAGGACCCTTTCCTTACTGCTTTTCAACTGAGCTGGGAGCTGCAGGAACTGAGTAAAGTCGAAAATGAATTTAAGTCAGAGTATGAGGAACTGTCACGGCAATGCAAGCAATTTGCAAAAGATCTCCTGGATCAGACACGGAGTTCCAGGGAATTGGAAATTATTCTTAATTACAGAGATGATAATAGCTTGATAGAAGAACAAAGTGGTAATGATCTTGCAAGATTGAAACTGGCAATTAAATACCGTCAAAAAGAGGTGAGTGTGCTGTAGAATATTGAAGCGTATTCACTAGTAATAATGTGATAGATAAGAGCCTGAAATTCATCCTTTTAACTGAGACAAATTGCTGCTTGTCTTTTACTTTTGTTTGTTTGTTCTACCAGATTTCTGCTTTTTGTATAGTTTTAATTCGATGAATTTGAGTAGTTGTTACAGTTTGATAGTATCAGAATTTGAAATGTTCTCTTATAGGACAGATTCTGTGAAACTTCTTTGTATTTTACACCTGAATAGACATAGTCTCCAGTAGTTGTGCTCTGAAGTGCTTTTCAGTAATAGGATAAGAAATATCAAATTACCTTTAACTGTGTCTGACAGAAAAAGGAGGCTATGTGCTTAAACACATACTACAGGTATCTCTATAGAGAAGTTTTCTCAAATAATAGCTACTATAAATAGATAATGAAACAGAAGATAAGTAGCAATGCATGATTCCCAAAAATGTCGACATCAAAATTCTCTTTCATAAAGAATCCAAAGTGGAAATACCTGGGTATTGGTTTCCATGAGAGTTGAAAATTCCTAAGTTTACTTCACTGATATATGTACAGTTGTAATCAGAGGATGTCTGCATATCTTAAATACTGAAGTTCTTTTGCATGCAAAAGCAAAAGGAGCAGATTCATGTCAGAATGTGTTGTATGATCTTATTTGGAACCTGTACATACAAAGTCAACTGAACTGTGGAAGTCTATAGGCAAAATAAATGCTGTTAGTAATTAGATAGTTGTTGTTCATACAAAATTATGGCAAATGCTTAAGAAACTTCTATGTTATATTGAGCTAGTCTGCCTATCACTGCTAAATCTCTGTTCTACAAAATATAATAGTAAATGTGTTATTATATTAAGTATGTTAGAAAGGTTTGCAGAAATAATAATTAAACGTGCAAATGATTCTTTTGTCCATTTGAAACACAATTTAGTAATCCTAAGAAGCTACCATTAAGGTAAGGACCTACTGAAGTTCTGCTGGAAAAATTCTCATTTGGTATCTGACATCATAAGTCTTCTAATAAGCATTTTTTCCTCCAGAAAATGTATAATTTTATGTTTTATAGTATAATGTTTTAGAGAACATATTCACTGCCTTCATAAATTATTTTCAGATGATATTTTGCCAGACTTAACAACTACTGTTTCTGTTTCTTGAAATGCCAATGCCAATCTTGTCTTACAGTCATTTAAGAAAATCAGGCTTGGACTTCTGTTTTCTCAAGGATTCATGCATCAAAATAAAATTGTGACCTCTCCTTGTTTGTTTTTTTTTTCTTTTAAATCTTAACAAAGAGCTTGAATTTTCTTAATTTGAGATAGAGACAGTGATAGACATATGTAGGGTGAAATATTTTTTGTAGTTGCGTCTGATTCCTGTGCTTAATTAAGTTGCAGTAATACAGCTGATTACATGATCCTTCATAATAGCAAACATTAAAACAAAGCCAATTTTGTGAAACAATTACAAATCACTGGGTCTTTTATACTTTACACACATTTTTAATTTCTATAAATATTTTCCCCATCCCTACCACTTGAGTCTCGATGAAGTAAAATCAAGTTGTATTAGATTCTTTTGCTGTGTTCTTATATGTATTCCATACTGGATGATGGAGCAAACAGTAGCCACTGTAACTATTCAGTCATTTTATTTCTGATTATTACAACAGTATTCTAGTAGGTGCAGCTCTAAGATCAAGAAACTTACCTCAGGCATAACAATTGCTTGGATTCCGGCTGTCCTGGTGCATACGGATCATCAAGAAAATACATCAGATGGGTCTTTCTGTTTCTTGTGTTAAGGATGTTACAACTGACACTGAATACAGCAGCCTCCAGGGTCTTCAGATTCTTTCAGCTCGGGCATTAGAACTCAGCCAGAAGCTCTTGATAGTATAACATTTTAGGCAATATAGTCACTGCTTTTGAAGATTATTTTCAGATGGTACTGTTCCAGACTTAACAACTACAATTTCTATTTCTTAAAATGCCCCCCCAACGAAACAGCAAAACATAATAATGTGTTGTCTTCCCCTCTTATATTACCACTCCTAACATCTCAACCTTTATTCATGCTATAACTAAAGGACATTATAACACCATATTGGGGCTGAGTTCAGAATTCCATGAGTAAGAAATCACATCTGGTTGTCTGGAATGTCCAGTTTTAAGTCCAAAAATGGCATCTGAAAGTGACAAAATAGTGATGAATGTGGACAAATAAAATTAGAACATGTGTCCTTTTAAATTGTTTTAATGATTTAGGGCTCAGGAGTTAAGGATTATGTTTTTTCCTTTCAAGTTGAAAATAACACCAAAAATTATTAGAAGCAATTCCTTTGGGCATTGTAAACAAGTGGATATGAAACATATTAGAATTAAGCCTTGTAAAGGAGTGGAGTAGGCTTTGGATAATATGACTTCGTTTAATCTCAAGACACAAGATTGGGTGGAACAGAATATTAAGGGTACTTGTAGAAGCAAACAAGTGGATGCTGAAGAATTTTCATTGTGTAAAGAAAGGAAAATTGACAAATGTGAAAAGATCATTACCAACCTTGGAGTTGTTGAGGAGCTTTCCAGATAACATGGTGTTTAAAATGTAAATCTAGAAATGCCTTGTGATGAACTCTTAAAATTTAAGTGATTAAGCAGTGCTTGGTGTAGTGGTCTGCAAGCCCCTGGTACCACCTGTGTTATTGTGTACGGAAATGAAGAAAGTACATTCTTTCTCAGAGCTGTCTCCATTGTTCATATTCACCACTTTGCCCCTGAAGTGGACCTTCGACAAACCAAAAACCTTATGTCAGTTGGATTTGAGGTTCTCTTCAGTAAAAGTTGCTCATCTCTGCATTTCCATTCCTTTCTCACTTGACATAATACTGTGATTCTCATTCATATACTGGCAAAAGGCATCTCAGTTATATCAATTCTTAGTCCATTGAGTCATGTCAGAGGTAACCCACTGTGTATCATCAAGAAAGAAACTTCCCCGATAAAACCATCTATCTTCTTTCATTAATAAGTGATGATACTGAAAGAGATTTATACTTTTAAGTTTACACTGTGGGATAATGTCTGGCAAGACTGTGGATAACATCTGTTCACAGTTATGTGGCAGAACTAGGGAGTATCTACCAGGATGTATGTTTTGTGTGCTTACCCACAATTTCTTTTTAGCATAGCACATAGGATAGAACATCCAAGGTACCTTTTTTTCTGTTCATTTTGCACCAGTGATGCTGTTTGATTTTAAGCACAGACACATTGCTGATGCTTATGGTGCCTGTTTCTGACACCTACTGTTGCCCGGTCTAAAACCAGCAGCAGAAAAGGGAGATTCTCTGAAGTCATGCAGCCACCCTGCATTGGGCACAAACATTTTGTTGTCCAATTATCTGCTGTATAATATTATCTCAACTAAGGGAGAGCTTGGTTTTACAAAGGCTGTCACAATTTCATTGCTTTGGATTCTGTTCATTCTATTCATTCTAAGCACAGAATGTGCAATGAGAAATAAGTTTCCCATTTTTCTGAACCAAATAAAAATGTTATCTGATTTAACAGCAGCTTCGCTCAAGGATGTAGAAGGGAACTTCCCAGTTCTGTGTATGATTCACAAGAAAATCTGAGCTCAAGTAAATTTCAAACCTCTGGTGCAAAAATGCAATTAAGTAGCAGAGAATAATAGCAGTCTTTAACGATTTAAAGACAGTTATCTTTGCCACTCATTGTGAACTGCATGTTCTCTCTCCTATACTGAGAGTTTTTAATAGAGAAATCGCAGCAAAATCCCAGTGTCTCTCATTCTTCAGTTAACTTTGTTTTAGCTTTGGTTCTATTTACGTGTTAAGCATATAACTACAAAAATGTTAAAAAGTGCAATGCTTACTAATTTTCCCTTTTTTGTGAAATAAAGAAGAGAGGAGATAAATAGACTGAATCAATATCCTCTTGTTTCACGGTAAGTTTAATTATTGGAATTTAAATACTTACACAAGTAATTTAAACCTCTATTTCATTTCACCTCCTACTAACTGAACCATGCCATTTAAACTGTAGTTGTATAAACTTAAACATTGTAACAGGATGAGGTTATAATTATTGGCAGTACTGTCTCGTGCTTTTTATTAGACATTCTGATATCAACACAGAGGAAATATGAAATTTAAAGTATGTAACTTAACCTTTTCTCTTTCACTTTTCAAAGGAATAAATGCTAGCTGGTTTGGTTTGGTTTTAATTTTTTATTTTCTTTATCTTTTCCATTCTTACTTTATACTGATCATCTTTCCCCTCCTTACCAAATACAAGATAATTGGTAAATTTGGAATACTTTATATTATCTGGATGTAAACAGATTTCAGTTTGATGCTCTGGAAACATTTTAATAAGCTTTTTTCTGCTTTTGTTTTTAAAAACCCAAAATAAATGCATAGATTATCTAGCCTCCTTGCAGTGTTATATATCATGTTGAGATGTATCTAAAGAGGGAAGAACTGAATTTTCTAAAATTCTGGAGGGGTATTTTTCCTAATCATGAATTAACTTTTTAAAAGGTTTGATTTAAAACATAGAACTATTTCTAAATTTTCATTTCTCCCCATGTTTACCTAACGTGCAGCTGCTTAACTACTAGAACTCTTCCAAATACCCCTAGCTGACCTTCTAGCAGCTTCCCCTTCCCAGGGGCAGGCCCTGTTTTGCTGAATTGTGAGCAGCTGCAGACCCTGGACTGGCAAAGGGGCAGAGTTAAAGAGGGAGTGGGTTTAACAATTTCACACGTTTAAAAACATTTAGATTTAACAAGGGTACAGGCTTTATTAGAAAGAATTTCAAGGAAAATATTTTGGGGAAATCAGTTCAGACTAGATTAAATCTTAAATACAAAATATGATAATTAGATTTCATAGCTCAGTCTTGTTTTCTATAAAAATTATGCTACAGGATAAAAAAGAAAGTTGTTTGTTTTTGATAATA